TTATGTGAGGGGAGTGATGGAGGAGGCTCGGAGACCTTGGCATGTTGGGGCCAATCCAGCCCCTACCCTAAGATGCAAACAAGGAGGAAATGCTTCCTGTTCTCAATGCGGAGAATTTTCTTAATGCCCAAATCATAGCCCTCAGAAGCCCTCGTGAACCATTCTCTGCAGAATTCCCACAGATCTCTTCTTACACAGTTGTGGGTTCAGATTCTCCTTGGCTTTGCTTTTGTTCTTTCTTCCTTGCAATCGCTCCTTCATTGAGAGTCATGTCAAAACTACCTTTGTTTTTAAGTCTTCCGCTGTCACACCTTTCCTTCTCATGTAACACCAACCTCTTCTGTTTCCCATTCTTTCCGCCCAACACGTGGAGTTATAAACTCACGGTAAGGCTCCTGTCTTAGTCCATCCTCCCGGACACTGTCCAACAAACCTTCATTCCCAGCTTCTAGCAAACCCTGTGTGTGTCCAGAAATGATGGGCAGACAAGGAACAGTAGGCCAGTGTGTGCGGGGTGGGGGAAGGGGCAGGAGGCAGACGGGGGCCAATCCAAGTGAGGCCCAGAGAAGGGTTTCTCGGGAAAGTCCTGTTGATCAGGGTCTGTGACACAGGGACACAGTCAGTTTTTGTGGAGAAGAGGACATTTGTGTTGGAGTTCAGGCTGAGGACGTGCGTGGGGGTCAGGCCATGCTGAGTGGTGAATGGCAGAATGAGAAGCTCAGGGCCTTTCCCCGGAGGCCATGTGAGTCATGGATCAGGGGTTGGGGGTGGGGGGGTTGCACAGAACAGCCGTGTTTGCTGGAGATGGGGGATCTTGAGAATCGGTATGAAATATTTGAAGGTGAGGTGTGTGAGACCCCCTTACTAGGGGTTTGAACAGGGAAGGACACTCCATGGTCACCGCGTTCTGCCTGTGATTATGGAGTGGGGAGCAGGGAGCTGGTCCTTCCCCCAGGGCCCTGGGGAAGAGTGATGCTTTTCCATTTAGGGCTTTACCCCCTGATCAGTGCCAGCCCTGGGGAGGAGTAACTTACCTGATCAGCATTGTCACAGTCCTTTCGGGTTCCTGTAACAAAACATCACAGGTGGATGGTTTATAAACCCGAAACATTTCTTACAGTTCTGGAGGCTGGGAAGTCCAAGACTAAGGTGTGAGCAGTTTCGATGTCTGGTGAGGACCTCCTTCCTGGGTAATAGAGCACCGGCTTCTCTCTGTGTCCTCACATGGCAGGAGCGAGTGAGGGAGCTCTCAGGCATCTTATAGGGCCACTGGTCCTAGCCACCTCCTGTGGGCCCTGCCTCCTAACATCATCACATTGGGGTTAGGATTTCACTTCTCTAAGGGCGCTAATCCCATTCTCGAGGGTTCTATTCTCATGACCTAATCAACTCCCGAAGGCCCCACCTCCTAAACCCGTCACATCAGGGGTAGGGTTTCAACATACGAATTTTGGAGAAACACATTCAGTCTGTATCAGGTGTGATCTGGGCAAGACTGACCTTTCTGTGGCCACATTTACTTCGGGCAGGACGACCTCACAGAGACCCACTGACCACCGTGGTCCCTATCCTTTGTCCTCTTCCCATCCCTGTGGGGCTGCAGAGACCAGGCAGGACCTGGCAGCTCCATCTCTCTTTGCCTCCTCTGTTCCAGCTGTGTCACCTCTATCAGGTCTCCTTTCACTGGGAAAGACACTGGCTTTCAGCTTGGGAGCAGTTGTGTGTGTGTGTGTGTGTGTGCGTGTGCGTGTGCGTGTGTGTGTGTGTGTGTGCGTGTGCGTGTGCGTGTGTGTGTGTGTGTGTGTGTGTGTGTGTGTGTGTGTTGGGGGCGGGGTGGTGACAACTTGTTGAGTCTTACCGGGTCTTCAGCAGAGGCCGGGCCCACTCCATTCACGAGGAGCTGTGTCTGGGAAAGGGAAACCGTTACCAGTTTCCTTTTCAACTCAGCTGCTTTAAAGCCCCGCAGAAGGTGGGTGTGATGAGTACCACCCCTGTGACTGCCTTTGAGTGTATCGTGAGAGACGAACAGAACCTCATTGCTTCTCATCAGTCTTCTCCGTGTCCCCGGCCCCGCTGTGTCGTTTTCCTCCGTGACGTCCCATGCCCTGGCAGTGCCACCCAGCCTCCCGGGACACGCTGTTTGTTCCCTAACAGATTGCGGTTTTCCTGAGCAAAGTGGGTTATGCCTCAGGCTCTACACGCCCCGCCACCTTGTGAAATGAAAACCCCATTCGTTCATTTAGGGTTGAGTCCAGGGGCTTTGCGTAGCATACAGGTTTGTAAAATTCACCCATGGCACGGGGTGGACGGTGGGGGGGGGTGGCCCATCAGGACTTCACTGTGGAGTAAATACTCAAAGCGCCAAGTCTGGATCCTAATTGGGCAAAATAAAGAGGGAGGCACGGTTAGGCTTTCATCCGGGGACCTGCACTGGTTATTGCAAAAATGGAGTCTGTCCTTGTCCTGCCTCTGTGAGCTTTCCGCGCCTTCCGACTCCCAGTGTGCCCTGTGCGGCAGCAGCAGCCCCACCTGGGAGCTTGCTAAAAATGCAGAGTCCCAGGCCCTGCCCCCCACTGAATCCGAATCCAGCTCTTAACAAGGTCCCCCAGTTGGTGTTATGACCAAGTTGCAGTTGGCCTTCTGGAGCCTCGTGCTTCACAAAGCTGAACCCGCACAAGAATGTCCCAGAGGGTCGAGTGAAAACACAGGTTCCCGGGTTCCCAGGTGGAGCTTGTAGACCTAGTCAAAGGGACAGTGATACGGATCCTACTGGTCAGCTGCCCACTTGGCTGCTCTCTAGCTTGTCCCTGAATCAGAAGCTTCAGTCCCAGTCCACACACACATTATGGTCACTGGTCGATAGATGCTACACGTATGGGCAAAGCTTCAGTGGAACCAGTCCAGTCAGCGGTCCTGCTTCCAGAGTGGCCCTGAGTGCAGCCACACTGGGCACAGAGGGACAGCGGGCTGGGCAGGTCATCCCTGGAACATGGTGCTGGGCTCAGTCCACTCTCCTGGCCACCGTCCTGCAGGCTGGTAGAAGGTCCTCTCCCAGCAGACTCCACCTGGAGCTTGGGGGTTCCCTCCAGTCCAGTCTTGAAACTCTTAGAACTCAGGAGCCTCCTTTTCCGTGAGCTCAGCACCTGTCTCCCTTTTCCAGTCTCCTGTCAGCGTCTAGTCCCTTACCTTTGAAGGACTCCACCCAGAAAAGGCCCAAAGAGAGCCCTGTCCCTGGGGGTCACGTCACATCCCTTCTGGAGAACGCTAACTATAGTAACTCTTTCTAATGGAAACTCACTGGTTGATGCCCCTTTGTCTATACCCACCTTCTAAACAGGTCTTCCTTGAAGACCACAGTTTGCCTTTCTAGAATTTCTTTAGCCATAAGAAAAAAAAAAAAAAATGTTAACTATCCCACCTTCACTATTTAATTTAACCTTCTTTAGAGTCTTTTAAAGTTCTTTTAGTTCTTATTAGGGCCTTTGCTGTTCTTCAGTCCCGAAATTTCCAACCTATAAAATCATAGACTCCAAGACATGATTTCTTAATGAATATTATTTCTGGAGGTTAAAATTTTGCCACTGGTGATGAGTAAAAGGCATACAGCTAGATCTTTTTAAAAGCCGTGCGTGTCATTTATACAAAAGAGAAATGTATGCAGTGAAATAAACATTGTCCCTTGAGCCATGAAGTCACCTTTCCCAGATTTACTCCCACCGTGCTTAGTATTTAAATAAGCAATTATAGACAGGAGGTTTAAAGATTGAAGAGATTGGTGATCATCCGCTTTATAAAACTTGGGAAAATCTCTTTTTGCCGAGTGGGTCTTTTCAACCTGATTTGCTTTGGCACACTTTACAGAAGGAAAGAACAGGACACATTTAGGATCTAGAAAATTCTCCCTGGTGAACAGGGTTTCCTGGAGACTTCCTGGAACTGCTGTCAAAGGGTTATGCAGGAGAGTTAATTTGGCCTTTGTAATCCTGTGCTGTGAAGCTTAGGGAACCTTCTACATCAGGAAGGCAAACTCTGAGCAGAAAACATTAATAGCATCAGTCCCCGGTCTTTGTGGTCATCCCTGAAAATCATTTATTCATTCATCTCCTTTTGGAAACTTGGGAGGGGGGGAGGTATCCAGCTATATATCCCCCATCGCAAGGATGTTGTATAACAAACAGAAAAACATAGTGCAAACTAGCGTCGAAGCTAAAGGATTCTTATAGGCTGATGTGGCTGAAAATCCAGAGGCAGAAGCAAGGTCAGGCATAGTTTGACCAAGTAGTTAAAAGCAGGTGAGCAGGACCTGGTTTCTTTTTCTGTTTCAAGACTGTTGCTGGAAGTCCTAAAGCTATATGAGTCCTTGTCCACATTCTGCATGAAATCAAGATTCTCCTTCCAGAGTCCCCAGCCCCAGTCCTGGGATGGATGGGACCAGATGAGCTGGCTGGCTAAGCTCATGACCATAAACCAGAGACGAGTTGTTCCATGGGATGTGGGGCCTGGATTTGGACCGGGGGCCCCAAATCACGCTGGGCACCATGAGAATAGGAGGCTATGGCTTCTACCACCCTTGGGGAGCGGTGGAAGTGGACTGAATCCCAGGCAGGCGTTTTTGCTGCTGGAATCCTGGTCATCATGCACAGCCCTAAATCAGGCGGCTGGAAAGTATCATCCGTGTGGCCAGGAAGAAATGTCCCCGTGCACCAAGGCTTTTATATCCCCAGGCAAAGGAGGACTCCCCCAAATTTACTGCCTTTTCTTGACCTTCGGGTGAGAATGATCTAGCGGTGAGTGTGTCTGTCGGAGGAAGAGCTGGTCACCCGTGTCAGTCTGAGAGCTTTCTTAATGAAAGAGCCGATGGGTGTCATGAACCCTTTGCAAGCAAATCCTAAAAACAACTACAATTGGAAAGCCTGCAGAAGATGGGTTGTACTTCCAAAACAATACACGGTTGGAGTAATCATGTAATTCATGCCTTGTTTTTCTGATTTCTTTTCCAGAACCGAATGGAGGAAAGCAAAGCACTCTTTAGAACAATTATCACCTATCCCTGGTTCCAGAACTCCTCGGTTATCCTATTCTTAAACAAGAAAGATCTTCTAGAGGAGAAAATTATGTATTCCCACCTAGTTGACTACTTCCCAGAATATGATGGTAAGTGGGCACTCTTCAGCCAGCCCAGTAGCTGGGGGTACGTTTGGCGGCCCAGCCGGTCCAAGAGCTGACACCGTGCAGCCCATCGTCGCTGCCTTTGTCTGCAAAGCCTGCCTGTGTGATTGATGAAGTAGAAATGACTGTTCACCCCGCTCTTTGAGGACCTCACATGTTTCAGTCCCCTGATAATGCTCAAAGTGATAGCAAAAAACAAACAAAAAAAACCTACATGTTTGGAAATAAGTGGATCATGGGAGGGAACAGTCCCACAGCTTTGAACAACGGTGTTTTTGCCATTATGGTCCCGTTTTGTTCACGGGCTACTCTTGACTCTTTCTGGAAAGAGAACAGTTTTGTGTCAAGAGCCCGTGCTCTGAAATCACTCCATGCAGGTTCATACCCCAGTTTCGATACTTCCCATCTATAGAACCATTATCAAGTCACTTCATTTCTCAGGATTTTTGGCTCAAACTCATGCAATTGTAGGCTATACTAGACCAATGTATGACATTTTAGTATGATGGGGGACACATGGTGAGTGGTAGGTTTGTTTTGTTGAAGGTTTCCTTCACTGTGCAGAAGCTTTTTATGTTACTGTAGTTTTAATAGGGTTATTTTTGCTTTGTTTTCCATTGCCACAGGAAACATAGCTAGAAATATGTTGGTAAAGCCAGTAGCAAAGAGATCACTGCCTCTGTTTTTTTCTAGGATTTTATGGTTTCAGGTCTCAAATTTAGGTCTTTAATCCACTCAGAGTTTATTTTTGTATTTGAGTTTATTTTGCATATGGTGCAAGAAAGCAGTCCAGTTTCAGTCTTTTTCATGTAGCCGTCCAGTTTTCTGGACCGTGAAGAGACTGTCTTCTCCCCATTGTGTATTCTTGCCTCCTTTGTCACAGATTAATTGACCATGTGAGTGTAAGTTTATTTCTCAATTCTGTTCCATTGATCTATGTGTCTGTTTTTATACTGGAAACTTAGTGTTGTGATTATACAGTTTTGCTGTAGATCTGGCATTGTGCGACCTCCAGCTTCTTTGTTCTTTCTCACAATTGTTTTGGCTCTTCCGGGTCTTTCGTGGTTCCATACAAACTGTAGGATTGGTTGTACTCTGTGAAAAATGCTCTTGGTACTTTGATAGGGATTTTATGGAATCTGTCCATTGCTTTGGATAGTACGGACATTTTAGGGATACGGATTCTTCCAGTCCAGGAGCATGGAAAATATTTGTGTCATCTTCAGTTTGTCTCATCAGTGTTTTGTAGTTTTCAGAGTACAGATCTTTCACCTTCTTCATTAAGTGTATTCCAAGTATTTTATTATTTTTGGTGCAATTGCAGTGGGATTGTTTTCTTCATTTCTTATTCTGCTACTTCTTTATTATTGTATAGAAATGCAACCAATGTGTACTACTTTTGTATCCTGCAGCTTTACTTATTACTTCTAATAATGTTTTGGTGGAGTCTGTAGGGTTTTTCTGTGTATAGAAATGCACTGGACAGGGGCGCCTGGGTGGCTCGGTCGTTAAATATCTGCCTTCAGCTCAGGTCATGATCCCAGGGTCCCGGGATCGAGCCCCGCATCTGGCTCCCTGCTCAGCAGGAAGCCTGCTTCTGCCTCTCCCCATTCTCTTGGCTTCTGTTCCTCTCTCGTTGTGTCTCTGTCAAATAAATAAAATCTTAAAAAAAAAAAAAAGAAAGAAATGCACTGGACAAATAATAATAGTTAAACCTCTTCCTTACTAATTTACATGTCTTTTATTCCCTTTTCTTGTCTGAGTGCTGTTACTTGCACTTGCAGTACTATATTGAATAAAAGTAGTGAGAGTGGACATCCTGATCTTGGCGAAAGAGTTTTTTCCCGTTGAGTATGAGGTTAGCTGTGGGTTTTTCTTGTGTGGCCTTTATTATGTTGAGATACGTACCCTCTAAGCCTACTTTGTTGAGGGTTTTCATCGTGAACAGATGTTGAATTTTGTCAAATGGTTTTGCTGCATCTTTTGAGATGGTCATATGGTTCTTATCTTTCGTTTTATCAATGGGATGTATCACATCGATGGATTTGTGAATATTGAACCACTTTGGATCCCTGGAATGGATCTGAATGGATCTCATGTGAGCATGGTGAATGATCCTCGTACTGTGTTGTTGAATGTGATTTGCTAATATTTTGTTAGTTTTTGCATCTAAGTTCATCAGAGATGTTGGCCTGTAGGGGTTTGTTGTAGTGACTTCGGTTTGGGTAGGAAGGTAATGCTGGCATTGTAAGCTTTCCTTCTCCTATTTTTTTTTTTTTTTAAGATTTTATTTGTTTACTTGAGAGAGAGAGTGACAGAGAGAGCATGAGAGGGGACAGGGTCAGAGGGAGAAGCAGACTCCCCACTGAGCAGGAAGCCCGATGGGGGGCTCGATCCCAGGACTGCAGGATCATGACCTGAGCTGAAGGCAGTCGCCCAACCAACTGAGCCACCCAGGTGCCCCTCTTCTGCTTTTATAATAGATTAATACAGATGATTTGGAATAGATATTTTTTTAATGTTTGGTAGAATTCACCTGTGTAGCCATTTGGTACTAGACTTTTGGTTTGTTGGGAGTTGATTACCAATTCTATTCTGTTACTAGTAATTGATCTGTTCAGATTTTCTGTTTCTTCCTGATTCAGTTTTAGAAGATATATCCATTTCTTACAGGCTATCCAGTTTGTCAGCATATAATTTTTTGTAGTAGTCTCTTATAATCCCTTGCATTTCTGTAGTTGGTTGTTACTTCTCTTTCTTTCTTGAGGAGTTTGACTGAAGGTTTATAATTTTGTTTATCTTTTCAAAATACCTGCTCTTGGTTTCATTGATCTTTTCTATTTTTTAGTCTCTGTTTTATTTACTTCTGATCTGATTTTTATTATGTCCTTCCTTCTACTAAATTTGGGCTTTGTTCTTTTTCTAGTTCCTATAGTTGTAATGTTAGATTGTTTGAGATTTTCAGTTCTTGCAGTAGGTCTGTATCATTGTTAATTTCCCTGCTTTTGCTGGGAAACGGCTTTTGCTGCAGCATATCAACGATTCTGGCCCTTTGTGTTTTCATTTGTCTTCATGTATATTTTCATTTCTTCTCGGATTTTTATATTGACTCATTGATTGTTTAGTACCATGTTGTTTGGCCTCTACATGTTTGTTTTTTTCCATTTTTTTTTCTTGTTACTGATTTCTAGTTTTATATCATCATGGTCAGATGCAGGATATGATTCCAGTCTTCTTAAATTTATTGTGACTTGTTTTGTGATCTCTCGTGGAGAATGTCTCATGTGCATTTGAAAACAATATGTATTTTCTTGGTTTTGGATAGAATTTCTGAATGTATCTATACATACATATATTTCTGTATACGTCTGGTCTAAGGTATCATTCAAAAACAAATCCTTCTTGATTTTCTGCCTGGATCATGTATCCATTAATGTAAGTAGGTTTCAAAGTCCCTTAGTATTATTGTATTACAGTCAGTTTCTCTCCTTGTATCATTAATATTTACTTTCTGTATTTAGCTGCTCCAGTATTAGGTATAAATATTTACAATTGTTTTACCATCTTGATGGATTAACCCCTTCATCATTATGTAATGCTCTCGTCTCTTGTTACAGTCTGTTTTAAAGTCTGTCTTGTCTGATATAAGTATTGGTAGCCCAGCGTTTTTTTTCACTTTCATTTGTAAGGAATATTTTTATCTGTCCTTTCACATGCAGTCTGCATGTGTCTTTAGTCTGAAGGGAGTCTCTTGTAGGCAGCATTTAGAGGGCCCTGGGTTTTTTTAATCTGTTCTGTCTCCCTATGTCTTTTGGTGGATCATTTAGGTCATTTACATTTAAAATAATTGTTGATAGCTCTGCAGTTACGGCCATTTTGTTAAATTTCATCATTCTCTGTTCCTTTCTTCTGCTTTTGCTCTGTGATTCATGACTTTCTGTAATGTTGTGCTTGGCTTTCTTCTTTTTTGTGTATCCATATGAAAGGTTTTATGCTTGTAGTTACCATGAGGTTCATATATAACATCCTGAGTATATAGCAGTCTGTCAAGCCAACGGTTGCTGATGTTTGAATATGTTCTAGAAGAACTTTTTTCTCCCACTTACGTATTGTTCTCATTTTACATCTTTTTATTCCTAATTATCTTCCAACTATAGCCTTTTCCACTTCAAGAAGTCACTCTAACGTTTCTTGTAAAAATTCCTTTATCTGGGAAACTCAATATCCCTCCTTCAATTCTGAAGGATAACCTCACCAAGTAGTCTTGTTGGTGGCAGGTTTTTTTTTTTTCCCCTTTTAGCACCATGGAGCTGGCTTCCCCCTTTCTTCTGACCTGCCGTATTTCTGCTGAGAAGTCAGCTGAGAGACTTAAGGGGTTACCTTTTCCATGACTTTTTGCTTCTCCCTTACTGCTTTTAAAATTCTCTTTACCTGTTGTGTCTGCGGGCCTCATCCTGTTTGGGACTGTCTGTGCTTTCTGCACCTAAACGTCTTTTTCCTTATGTGGAGGAACTTTTCAGCTGTTACTTCTTCGACTAACTTTTCTGCCTCTCTCTGTTCTCTTTCTGGTGCCCTGTAGTGCAGATGTTTGTTTGAGGTTATCCAAGAGATCCTTTAACGTATCCTCATTTAAAAACAATTTTTTTTTTTTTAACATTCAGCTTGTGTGTTTTCCATCAACCCTGTCTTCCTTCTCGTTATTTTGCATTTCTGCGCACATTTACTATTGATTCCCTCGAGTGTATTTTTCATTTCAGTTATTGTATTCTTCAATTCTGATGTTTTAAAAATACATTTTCTATCTCATTATTGAAGTTCTGAGTTCCTCCACTCTCCTCTCCAAGCCAGGGAGCATCTGCGTGACCATTAAACTCTATCGGGCATATTGCTTATCCGTTTTCGTTTTTTTCTGGGGTTTGTCTTGTTCCATCATTTGGAGCATTCGCCTCTGTCTGCTCACTTTGCTTGACTTTCTGCATTTGTTT